TAAAAAAAAAGTTTGTTATTGATCGGCATTATGTTACATCACCTAATTTTGATTTAATTAGGGCATCTCACACCCCAAGGATGTATGAACAACTTTTCTGATATTTGCAGGCAAAGAAAGAAATTAAATAAATACATGTTTTTTAAAACTTTTGATCATTCAGAAAACACGGAAAATATTATTGCAATGTATAACTTTAATTAATACTTAGTTTGGAAACCATTAATTATAATATTAACGGATTCTTAATGGGACAAATGTTCATAACGGTCCATAATGATAATTCGTTAACAACACAGGCCGTAACACTAGTTGCAGTGTGCCCCACATGTAAAATATATAATTTTAAATTATATCATAGCCATATGATATATATGTATTTTATTTTGTTGTTTCAATAAAATTATTTAAATCAATGTTAGGAGTTGGTGCTGGTCCTAAATCCATACTAGATTTCCATAAAACAATATCTTCAATCAATTCACTATCAACATGAATTCCTTGTTTTCCATCAACAAGAATACCATTCTCTTTAGTTTTATTATTGCAATCACCATCACCATTCAAGTCTTTAATAATATTATTGCTGCTTTCATCACCACCATTCAAATATGATTTGCTAATCTTTTTCATCAAGACTTCTATTTCTTCATTTGCCTTGGTCTCATCAACTAACAATGTTTTCAAAATCTTTTCTAATGTTTGTGCATCAATTTTTCCTGGTTTAGCAGAATTTAAAGCCTCTTCTAATTCTTTTAAATCAAATTTAGTGATTCCTTGTTCATTCAAACATGAATGAAGATATTTTATGTCAATTGGTTTGGTTGTTTGGACTTTGTTCTGTGATTTTAAATGTACCGAAAGTTTTTTATGATTTGGTGATGTTGTATAAAAATGATCTTTGAAAAAATCAAGTATTTCTGATTTTGTAATTTTGTGTAGTTCTTCAACATCAGTTTCAACTATATTAATAATAATATATGATAAGGTTATTTGATTTATTAGAAAAATTTTTGAACAAAAATAATTTTAATTTTTACCTTTATTAAATTCATAAAATCCATCAGTAATATGACCCCAATATTTAGAAGCTTCTTGGTATAGATTTTTGGGCTTTTCTGTTTTTATGGTAATGATTGATTGAATTTGATTCTGATATACTTCATCTGACATTTCTTCAATTATTTTCTAAACAAAATGGTTGATTGATTAATTAATTAGCATATATATAAATACATACATAAATATTAACTAGTTAAAAAAGCATACTTGTAAGTTTTTAAAAAAGTCTTCAATTCGATGTTCAAGATAATTTGGATCTTTTTCACTTTGAACTATAAATACTAAACCCATGATTCCAGAAGTTGAATCTGCCCAATTAAATACCATATATCCTAATATATACATCAAAATTAGTTAGCAAACAAATATATATATATATTTAATAATAAATGGTATTCACCTAATTGTTCTTTAGTTCTAATTTGATCAAAAAAAGGTTGATTAATAATTTGTGCCAATATACTTAATTTGTTTCTTGATTTAACATCTTTATTATGACAAAGTTCAATATAATATTCTATTGCTGAATTGATGTCATTAACATCATAAACATCATGTTGATAAACATATCTTTTTCCCACTGGTAATAAAATTGGTCTATCCCCAATTCTTTGTGAAGGAGAAAGTGGCTTAGGTTTTAAAATGTCTTCAAAAATTTTTATATATTTTAGTGAATCTTCTTTATCAACATTTCCATGAACTAAACATTCAACATGTAAATCATTTAATAAATTTGGATAAAAATTTTGTATATCCTGACTAACAATATTCTCCAATGCGGATAATTTTTCTTCATGGGTCCAAAATTTTTGAGAAAGTAAATTATAGGTATAATACATTGCAGTTTGGTAAGGTGCATTATATAAGGTATTATGATATTCCCGTAATAGTTTTTCTTTGTATAGATCAAACCTTTTTGAGTCTACCTCATAATTCTTCATTTTCAAAAGTATTTTTTCTAAAAGAACCGCTGCTTTATCATTGTATCCAGAAATGTAAATGTAAAAATTTTCATCATATTCTAAATTATAATCAAGTTCTGCAATTTTTGCACTATAAGAGTATTCATTTAATGCATCTTCTATCAAATCCAAATATAAACGGGTCTTAACAGCATTGGATGGTGTAGCATACACTAGCGGACTAATAAACAATTAATATATTTGATATCATTATTTTGCATCATATGAATCAAAAAGTTTTACCTTTGAATTTTGAACCAAATGTAAACTTTAGGTACCCAAAATGTATCATCTTTTTTATACCAAATACGAACCAAGTCAGTGTTTTTAATCAAATTTGGATGTTTGAGGGGCTAATCAAATTATTATATTATTATAATATTTAAATTTGAATAAGTTGAAAAATGGAAATATTTCTAAAAAGATATTTTCTTGTTAAATAAACATACAGTAATGATTCCTTGTTTTTTAATTTCAAAGTTTGTTGGAATAAACTCATTTGGTAATGGGAGTTTTAATTCAGAGTCAATAGTTGTTGATTTTAATTCCTAATAAAAAAATAAAAAAAAATATATATATCAAATAAATATTTTCAATATACTCTACAAATTATATTTAATGAATCTTTACCTGAAGAAAGTTTTCACTCATAGGTTCAACTTTATACTCTATACCATACCATTTTTCTTTTTGATCCAAATTAGTAAAAGTTTGACTGACTAAAGTAAGGATAAAATTATCGGGTCTTAACCAATCTAAATTTTCTTGGATTAATTTAGGGTTGTATTCCCTAAAAATATATGATTTATTTAAGACCCATTCACGAGGATATGGACTTTGTAAAGCATTGGAAAGTTCAGAAGTGTAATCTTCAGGTGGAGATTTTTCTTTGAATTTAAATGATACAGCGGAAAGAATCTCAGCCTTTACAAAATCATTATTTAATAAATATAGTAATTAATATATATGAATTAATCCCACAAAATTTTGTTAAAATCATACCTCATGGTATATCCATTCTTGAATTCCTTCATTTTTCAACATTTTAATGTATTGAAAAATGATTTTAACAACTTCTTCATAATTAGCTATAAACATTATATGATTGTAAATAAATAAATAAATATAATATAACCATTTTTCATAAATAAATATAATATAACCATTAATTTAGAATTTTTCATAAATGAAATTACCTAGACCCGATTCAGTTAAATCAACATCAATCTTGAAGAATCCAAATCCTGCATTTGAATCTTCTGCTCCTGCTTCCAAAGAATTTGCTAAACCTTTTCAATAAAAAGTAAGTAAATAAGTAAACAAGTAAATAAACAAATAAACAAATAAATAATGACTTTTCTTTTTTTTTTTTTTTTGGAAATAACAAACCTTTCTTTTTCAACAGTGAAAATATAGAGCCAGCACCTTCATGGCCCAATAGATGTGATAGATACCTTCCAGGCTTTTATAGTGATGTTTTTACAGGAAAAAATTTAAAGAATTTATAGGTGTGAAAAAAGTTAAATACTAATATATATATTTACCTTAGCACGGAATAAAGGATCTTGGACTGGAAAAGGAAACTTTATTTTCAAACTTATTAAATCCTTGACTGGTTTGATAAATACTTTTTTCTAAAATAGAAAAGGAAATTTTAAAATTTTTAATATAAACATTATGTTTGATATTTGAAAATACATGATTTGATTTTACCATCAACTCATTTTTAGTATAAGGGTTTTCTTTGAAAATTGGTATTGGTATTGATTTATTATTAACATCAGAAAATTTATCTACTACCCATTGAGTTAATTGATCCAAAGGCTCTAAGTGTTCATCATAAAATTACATATAAAATAGATTACCATTAATAATAACTATATAGATTCATAAAAGTATAAATAAATAATGATATAATAAATATATTATTAATGATACCTTGACCCAACACAACCAATTTCATAATATTTGCTGAGTAATAATTGTTGTGAAACTTTAATAACTCATCTCTAATATCCAACCCTTCTTTAAGTGGATTATCTTTTAAGGTAACTAAATTTCCAGTACCAAATTTTCTATAAGGGTGTTTTGGGCTTGATAAAATTCTTCCAAGTTCATAAAACCTATTTATATCAGACTGAAGATTTTTTTTAAATTCTATATATATTTAAAAAAAAACGATGGGATTATTTCAATCTACTATACAAACTAAATGATATATAATGTATACATATTATTGATCATTACCAGAATCCACTGCGTGAAGTTCCCTGTCAGTACAACTAGGATCAAATAATGGTGATATAAAAAATTGCGCAAATCTATAAAAAATTAATAATTAATTGATTAATTAATTAAAATTACAATGACTATTTTTTAATTTTAAAGTACGTATTAAGTATTAGTTACCTATCCAAAGCACCTTCCAAATTTTTATGAGCTACTTCAAAATAATAGTTTGTATGATCTTCACTAGTATATGCATTTGAATATCCACCGTGATTTGATAAGTACTAATAAGAATCATAAATTATTATTATTGTGCAAACAAGTCCAAATATAAATATCAACATAGTCATATATTTTCTTGCAAAAATCATCCGCAACTGCAAGCGTATTTTAAATTTTATTGGTGGGTTAGGCATATTTAGAAACTACATTGGCAATCGCAGATGATTTTTGCATTTTAACACTATAATAAATTTCAATTACCTCGGAGTATTCATTTTCTTTTGGATACTACAAAATATAATTTTAATAAGGTATAGTATTGAAGATTTGATTTTCTATATCAATTGATCATATAGGATTTTCTTTACCTTTTTAGTACCCTATAAATATTATTAAATTGGTTGATGAGTTTTTAATTAGTTAAATATCATGATTTAAATTATGTATATAAATATTACCATGAACAAAAGATGTTCGCAGAAATGAGCAAGACCTTCTAAATTGTCCTAAACAACAACAATAACATTTTTTCACAAAGACATCAAAAAAAAATATATAAATGTATGCATATAATAGAAAAATCATACTGGATCAGATAACTGTCCAACATGGACATCTAAAGCAGCACTAGACTTGTCAGTTTCAGGGTCATGAATAAGCAATGCTTCTAACTCATTATTTAGATGAATCAAGCGATAGGAACGATTATCATTTTCTGGTTTTTCGATTATCTTTGAAAATACAGCATATGAATTATCAGGAGAAATCTCAAAACCAGAGGGAAGCTTATCAAATTTTGATGATGGTGCCATAGTTGTATGTTTCGAGTAAATAATTTGTAATTGCAAATGTTTGAGATATAAGTTTTTCAACAAGATGAATAACTAATAATTTTATCAATAATAATTAAAAATATTTGAAATAATGATTTATTGGTGTGTTTAAATAAAATAAATGGGCACACATCTTTCTTTTTACGTAAGGAACGGGAACGGATCTGATTGTTTCGGGAGTTTTTAATAGCCATAATAATAATAAATAATTTCACAAAAAAGGACATTTAGGGAACAAAAATATCAGATTCAATGTTCAACATTAAATTCAATGCCCACTTTATTAAAATATAATTTTTGGATATTATAAGATTAAAAAACAAGGTGTGTACCTAAAAAAAAATTTTTTTCAAGCCAGTTATCTTTATCCTTTAGTATTAGCAATATTGTGCGAATGCCTAACCTTTTATGGTAAAGACTGCTAATCAGAACTTTCTAAGGAATAAGTAAATTATTTATTTACTTGTTATTTCATATCACTTTTATCGTGTACTTAACAAACAACATCATATATATAATCATGGGAGATGTACACTAATTGTGGACTGTGCCAACAAAACATGGTCTGTCTGAGCTCATGGACTCAAGATTTAGTTAAGACATTTAATATGCTAAATATTTAATATTAATATTAAGTGATTTTCTAATACGACGGACATTGCTATATTAATACAACAAAAACAATTTAAAAATATTGAGAATTTATTATTTATTTCAATAACGAATTGCAAATTAGTTTTTACGCGGGATACTGTCTGTGTCAACAAATCATGGGTCTCGTCAAGTTTTTTATTTTAGCGATAAATATTTATTGTTATATTAATATTAATATTAACATTAACATTAATATCCGTTAAATCATTATAATAATCATCATTATTATAATAGACGGAAATCAAAGTCCGTTAAATCGGGATGCACTATTACTATTACTATGTTTGGTAATAGTAATAGATAATAAACACACATTAATATTTCCCGAACAGGGTAAAAATGACCAGCTTTGTCTCAAGTTCTATAGTGCAAGCAAGTCTAGTGATAAAGATTACACGACATCAAGTAATAACTGTTACAAAATTCACACTGGTTTGGTTGGTGCTTGACCTTCTTGATGTGCCATTTCGTTATAGAATTCTAATTAATGAAATGGATCTTTTTATAATCGTGCCAGGGCCGAAAAAATCAATTTTTCCGGTTCATTTAGAAAAACCCGATTGAAATTATAGCATTAAAAAAATATTTTTCTTATCGTTTATTATAAATTTGTTAAGAAAATATCACAAGTGGTTTCTAAGTTAAAAGTGTTTTCGTGAAAAAATTACATATTAATTAATATAGATATAAAATAAAATCGTTCAATTGATTAAAACTATTTCTCTACTATTTATCATTTAATAATACATTTACTTCACGATTTTCTTGCAATTAATGCACAACAACCACAATACCAACTAAATAATAATAATGATTTGATCAAAAAACATTTACAAATAATTGATTAATATTAACTAACTACTTTAATTTTGTAATTTCAGTCCGATTCATAGGCCCAACAATACAGCCTGCAAAACAGTAAAGTAATTCATTAGTGAGACAAGTGAAACGTTCACTATCAAAACGTATATAATGAATGGTAAACATTTTTTCACTTGTAGGAAAATATTACAAAAGTAACACACGTCAGAAACAAGAACAAAAACCGTTTAAAACTAATTAATTTAATATAACACATGATTTTGTGATTTGTTTGCATAATCTCTTGTCAGCAAAACAATCAAATAGCTCAAACACCCATTTGATGTGTTTGCTGATAATTCAACACTCTGCCGTATGGTGTCTGATTTAGTGTGCACACATTTGATATATTTGACTTTCTTTGATAGGCCGTTCTCTTTCGTTATTGTTATTATTTTATAAAGATTTTTTTTTTGAACAATATGAAAATTCAAAAGGTAAGAATTGAATTATGGAATAAAAAAAACGAACTATCAATGAAATATTTCGGCAAGCTCCAATCCAAACAAATTAACTGCTTTCACTTTGATTATGAGATCCTAGTAATTGATGAAGTATACAATCTATTTTACTAGATTTCCTCGTATAACAAAAATTTTAAATTAAATTTTATGGAACATTGACCCTGATACAAATAATAATAATATACAAGAAATTATCGAATGAATATACAGTATATACATATTTACACTAAATCAACAGAATGAAATATCAAAAATAAATAGGTCCTCTCAAAGTGTTAAAATCATTTGAACAATAAATGGATTGGTAAACGGAATGAATCATGTCAAAAATTTAAAGAACTTACTAAACTTCAACCTAATCTTCACATTTTGTAAAGAGTTTAAATTCAACCAATTTGAGAAGTAATAATGTCATCTGATCTAACATTTGAAGAAGCAACCCAAAATCACCGATTGTTATTTCACATGGTGAACTTGCTTTTTTACTGGCAAGATTCAATCAATCTATTATGTAAATATTTAATTTTCTATTAATTTATAAATCTAATTCTTTCATCCTCGCATATATTCTTATTCCACACTCTCACACACTCTCAAATTCTAATTTATTAGTAATTATTTTCCATGGATATTATTTTCACAAGACCATAACTTCCTTTATGAGTTGCTAATAGAAATATACCTGTCTCTTGTACAAGATTATTGTCAGTATTACTGTTATTCTCATTGGTGTCATGAACTCTTAAAGGTTGTTTTAATATATTAATTTTTTTATTACAAGTAATTATTTATTATTTATAGTTTTACAATAAAGTTCTTTGTTTTAATCTTATTACAATATTTAATTATGTATATAGACAATTGAGAAAACACCATAATATGTAGTAAAACTCAAGTCTTTGTAATTGAATAAACAAAAAAAATGCCAAGTTTTAATGATTGAAAAATATCTACCATATTAATCAATATTTTTTGTCCCATTTTTTAAACATTTTTAATATAAATCAAATAAACAAACTAAACCTTTCCTTCATTTTTCAAAGCATTGTATAAAGCCAAGGCAGACAATGCCTTCATATCGGGTATTTTCCACAATTCATTCAATTTAATTAATCTTACAGTGATATTTTCTCCTTCATCTTTCAATCCCGTTAATTTACCCTCCAACTTTTCCACATCTTCTTTTTTCATCTCTTTAATACATAAAAATAATTTTAAAAATTCATCAGATCCACCAGGTGAAGGATATGCTCCTCTAAATTTATCACCATATGCTAATTCTGTAAGATCAATCAAATCTTTCTCCTTGATTTCTATACCTACTTCTTCTTTAATTTCATCACTACATTTCCCACTGAAATTACCTGATCCATCTAGCATACCTGAAAAAATTCATTAATTCTTGTGAGAAAAAGCACAATATATTATATATATATATATATATTTAATAACCAAGTAACAATTCTGAATTACCTGCAGGTATTTCAGGAAATGAGAATGATGGTGCAGGAATACGAGCTTGATAAGTTAGAACAACTTGTTCTTTCATATTTGGATCATTTTCATCTATTGATCTTAAAATTAATAATACTGCAACAGATCCTCCTCGCTTTATAAATATATATATAAACATATATATTAATAATAATAATGGTAATGATAATAGTTGCTATTACTAATAATATTTCCATTTTTTTTTTCTTGATTAACAAAATACCAACCATAAATACTATCGCAGGCTTATTTATGCCACTTTTAACATGTTTTGTATTGACCTTGAATTTAACAAAACCTATATTTTTTCCAAAGTAATCAACATTTTGAATTTCAATTTCATTAATTTCTAATTCTCGTTTTTCTGTCGCAAGAATTTCTTTAGATAAAGCAGCAGCCCAGTCTTTAAATGGTTGAAATTCAAGAACTGGGTTGATATTAATTGTTTGATCTTTTGTACTAACAGGAATTGAACGTCCTGCAATTTTAAGAGACATGATGTTTCTTATAATAGTGTTAGTTGCTACTAATTTAATAGTTGGTGTGGTATTTTTAAAATTAGTATTAGTCTTTCTAATAAAAATGTTAAAAATGTTAAAAATGCTTTTTACCATTATCATCGCATGTACTATTATTAATTATATTTCTTAAAACTATTTTCACGTGATATTTTCCATTTAAACAATTTCACGTGATATTTTCCCACTTGTAACACAATAATTCGTATATGGGGCATTCTGCAACAAAACCAGACGAACATTGGTATTACCTAGTACTATATAGGTGTAAGTAAATAAATGGGGGGGGGGGGGGACAACTCAATGTTACATAGATCTGGTGAATCCAAAACTGTCACGCACTATGAAATTACTAGTATTTATAGTAAAAATAAATAAAACACAGAACATGTACATATTGTAGCCTTAAAAATTTATATAGATAAAAAATAAACATGACTTAGCTTATTTAATCCTTTCATCATATGTGAATTCCTTTATCCTCACATCCATCACAATGATTATTCAATACATTTGATATAATCATTGGAATAACAAACAGTTGCATCACCCAGATAGTAATGATACCAAGGCTATGCATAAATGAAACTCTTAACAATGCATGTCTACCCAGATCTCTGGGGTTCACAAAATAAATTATTTTTATTGATTATCAATTATGGTTCCTTATGAATAATAAATCTGATGTTGATTGCAGGTGTCAGATTTAATTAAAATTTCCTGTCACAAAACATGCAAGTGCTGTGCAATTAAGCATGTTCTATAAATGTGGAAATTTTTTCCACAGGTGAAATGATTGAACAAGTTGGAAGGCTTTGGACAAAACATTCCCTTATCTTCCCCTCAGACCAAGCTTGGCTGGATGCCACCATATGGGCATCAATTGCTGATGAGAGTTGACATTTGTGTGATGCTTGATTTGTGTTATCCCCCTCCAGTACAAAGTTGGTTTCTGCAACTCTGCAACTCAGGATGTTGCAACCTGGGTCATTGTTTTGGTTTTTCCCTGAATTCAGAGTTTTGAGTCTTGGGTTGCTGTCTTGTTGGTGGCACACAAACTTACCAACAACCTACCATTCAAAAAACAAATTCAGTTGGTCAAATAAAAAACAGAGTATTTATGAAATGATTAATTTATAACATAACATACTGTCACCAATTAATTTTGGGAGAGCGTATTTTAATTGATGATAACAGATTTTTATTAATTTATGTGGATCAGAATGA